GAGCTGGGAGAACGTTGAGGGCGTTGAAAATAGGCTGCATGATACCTTAGTGATGGATATACACCGTATGTTTGTCCAAACACCAAGAGTGAACCCGAAGGCAAGCTATAGACCTCGGGTGATTATGACATGTTAATGTAGGCTTCAGTTCAGTTCAGTTCAGTTCAGTTGCTCAGTCGTGTCTGACTCTTTGTGACCCCATGGACCGCAGCACACCAGGCCTCCCTGTCCATCACCAACTTCTGGAGTTTACTCACATCCAGCCATCTCATCCTCTGTCGTCCCCTTCTCCTCCTGGCCCCAGTCCCACCCAGCATCAGGGTCTTTTCCAATGAGTCAACTCTTCGCATCAGGTGGCCAAAGTATTGGAGTTTCAGCTTCAACATTAGTCCTTCCAATGAACACCCAGGACTGATCTCAGATGCCCCAGACCCTGGTCTGTGCTGTGCTCTGCCTTCATCCCCTCCCCGGCTGTAGTGTTGGATCTCCCATCTGACTCAGAGCTGCAGGGATAATGGCGCGCCTCACTTGTTTCCCTCCCAGGGATCGCAGCCTTGCATTCCCTGTGGGCCAGCATCTACAAACAGACTCACACATTTGACTGGTTTTCTGTTCGTTCACGGTGGGTGTGTAAGTGCACACCCTGTGATTCCCTGATGGCTGGGTAGACCTCAGTGCATTTCCCTTCTGGCCTGGATTACAAGCAGCATCTTTCTGACTGATTTCTCTGCCTTTATGCCTTTGTTCTCTGCCAGCCCCCTTCACAAATTCTACCCTCAAGGAGGCAATTGAAGTGACCCTTTGAATCCAAAAGTCACTCTCTGACTCTGTAAAATGTCTCTGTCGGCTCTCCGCTCCTCAGGGTAAATGATAAGGTCCGAGTGGTGGCCGGCATACCCGACGCCATCAGGCCAAGCCCTTCCCCGCTCCGGCTTACACGTCGTCCAGGTGTCGTTTCCTCCAGCCCTCTGCCCTCCTGTGTGTCCCTGACACATGCCCAATCCTCTCCCACTGAACACGGGCCCTGGGTGATCTTTCCACCTGGAAGCTTCTCCACCTGGTGATTTCATGGCTCGTTTCCTCCAATATCTTTATTCTGTGTGCAAAGGTCACTGTGCTGTCTCGGACCTGCCACTTAAAGTATAAACTACCCTCTTGTCCCCACACTTCCAGCTCCACTTGTTCCCCTTAGCACTTATCACCTCTTAAAATAATATATAATTGTATGAATCAGCCTTCAATCAGGATACAGAAGCCATACAATAGACTGAGAAGAGATGGTCTGTAGAATGAACAACTAACTATAAAGAACCATGAAGTGTAGCCTGGATGGGAGCAGAGTTTGGGGAAGATTGGATACACGTATATGTACGTCTGAGTCCCTCCACAGTTCACCTGAAACTATCACAACACTGTTAATTCATTATACCCCAATACAAAATGTTTTTGGTGTTAAATAAAGTAAATAAATAAAAAAGAACCATGAAGCATAGCCCGGCATTGAAGTAGAGTAGCTAAAGAAGAACCAAATCTTGGGGAGCCCCCTCCCCAGGGCTGGGGCCCGACCTTGTGGGAGAAGGGAGCATGCAACCCAGAGGATGGAGAAGTTGCTGGGTTGCCCTGGACGGAGCTGGCTCACAGTCTGGGCGGAGGCCAGCAGGCAGGGAAATGCAGGCTGAGACCAGCAAGCAGGAGGGCCCTCTCCCCTCCCAGGGGATAGGCTGGAGTGCCTACAGACTCATGGGAGCCCACTGGTGGGGGTGCCACTGAATACAGGGGGCATCCCCCGTGTTCAGTGTGGTGAGTGGCTGTGGACATCCCCTCCAGGTGCCACCGTTAGCCGTAGAGCAGGAGAAAGAAAAAGGATCAGATGGAAGCACCCTGGAACCAGGAAGGAAGCCCCTGCATCCTCAGCCTCCTACCAGCAGAGCAGGAGGAATGCCCACTGGCCCAGCTCCGTCACTGCAGAGCCCGCAGTGGGGGACAGTAGGCTGATGTGGGTGACAGAGGCAGTCCACTCGCAGCTGGCACTGGAATCAGTTAGCTATCCTAATCATTTTACTCTTTTCTGCATTTTCACTTCCAACTACTTTACATTTGAAGTAGGTTTTGGAAAACAGCATGTAGCTGTATCATGACTTTTACCCCACCCTGGCAATCTCTTTTACTTTGCATATTTAGTCCACTTATATTTTGACAGAACATTTAATGGTAGAGCTTGTGTCAGTTTCCTAGAGTTTACAAACTCTGCAGCATAAACAGAGAAATTCCATTCTCTCACAGTTCTAGAAGCCAGAAATCTGAGGTCAGTTGAAATGGGGAGGTGAAAGTGAAAGTGAAACTCGCTCAGTTGTATCTGACTCTTTGCAACTTCATAGACTCTATGTCCATGGAATTCTCCAGGCTGGAATATTTAAGTGGATAGCCTTTCCCTTCTCCAGAAGATCTTACCAACCCAGGGATGGAACCCAGGTCTCCCGCATTGCAGATGGATTCTTTACCCGCTGAGCCACCAGAGAAGCCCAGGAATACTGGAGTGGGTAGCCTATCCTTTTTCCAGCGGATCTTCCCGACCTTGAAATTGAACCAGGGTCTCCTGCATTGCAGGCGGATTCCTTATCAACTGAGCTATGAGGGAAGCCCACATGGGGAGGTAGAAACGCAATAAAGAATTTTAATGAGAAGGTCCTCACTGTGGGCAACTGGGACTCAGTCTTCCTGAGGACCTCTGAGAAATGGGTGGGATCACATCAGATTGTCCCACTGGGGAATGAGGAGCCCAGGGTATGTAGCCCGAGGTCTGCTCCGTGCGGACTGGGCATGTTTATTCACCTGCACATCGGCTATGACCCATGTGTATCGGGGAGGCCCAGAGGGGCGGGCAGTGGAGGTGGGAAGCCGGGGTCCCGTCTGCATCCAGGAGCCACACACTCCGGCTGCAGGGTGGCCATCAGCTCCGTCCCACAGTCCACCGCGCTCCCTGCTCCGATGTGCTCAGGTTTCCCATTACATCCGCTCTGGTCAGTTCTGGAACCGACGCTTCGGGGCGGCGCTGACCACAGTCCCTGAGATGCTGTCAAGGGGTGGTGAGCGGAGCTGGCTGCAGCCCCGCGGCCAGCCTCCTCTCCCACCCCCGTGCACGCCCCTCCAGGATCCAGGAAGAACACAGCTGGACACCTGGGCAGGGTTCCGCCGCCAGGGCACAAGGCCGTGGTGGAGGGCCGGAGGGCCTGGAGGGCTTGGATCGCACCCCGCAGAGGGCGGGGGCGGGCACCCCGTTCTCCCCAGGAGACCTGCCTGTGTCCAGGGTTTCCTCAAGGCCTGAATGAAGTCTCACTGTCATAAACGCTCAAATCAGGGACTCCCAGGTAATAACCCAGATCCAAGTTCCCTGGGGAACGTCCAGGAGAACAGGGAACAGGCCCTTAATAAGGACCCCACCCTTTCCTGCTCCCAGGGAGGGTGGGCTTCCTTCTCAGCAGTTCCTTCCCAGATACAGTAATTACTAGGTCCCGCCAGCACCTTCAGTGCTGCCCCCGGGGGTTATGGAGAGGCCGATTATTATTATTGAGCCAGTACTTGGGGCGGACCATCTACAGCCGCGTCCAACCTCGGGCCAACAAGGCACAAAGACACCATTGTGTGTCCCCAGCACCTGCCTGCAGGGCCCTGGGTCAGCGTGGGTCTCAGAGAGGGTGACTCAGACCCAGGACCCACACGGTCAGGGAGCAGGGAGGCCAGGATCTTGTTAGGGGGCAGCTGGTGCTGAGGCTAATGGAGCCGGGTGTAGGGAGGCTCAGCCTGGGCCTCTGAGCACCAGCCCACGTGTGGCCAGTCTGTACCTCGCTCAGCCTGTTTATCCAAATGGAATAGGCTGCGAGGCCTGTCATGGGGGGACACGGGAGTCAAAGCTGACGGGAGAGGGGAAGTTCCGGGGTGGTTGGGGTTCTGGAAGAATGAAAGAAGTCAGGGAATGTGGGTCCCACTCCAGGAAGGAGGAGGCAAGGCAGAGCCCATGTTCGCTGAGCCTCCTACGTGCCCAGGGGCCGGCACTCATGGGTCCTCCAAGGCTCACGGGACCCAGAGCCACAGAAGTGTGGGTCCCCCTCGGAGAGGGATCCTCTGAGGCCCCAGAGACCCAGTCACTAGTTTATTCTTTTAGCCACAAACATCCAGTGACCGCCTACCATGTGGCCGGAGCCCCTACTTTGGGGAGCTGCTGGTGCAGCAGGGCAGACGGGCGGTGAACCCACATGCACAGAAACGAGAGGCCCCACTGGGAGGACAGCACGCATTTGCCTGGAAACCCAGCCCCGCCTCGGGGTCCAGAATGAGGAACTGGGAGGCCGGGTTCCTCCTCCGGGGCCCCTGGGGCACACTCTCTGAAGAGGAGATATCCAGACTGACCCCAGGTCATAAGCCAGTGCCCCCATCCCCACGAGGACCCGGGGTTTGCATCCCAGGCCTGGGACCAGCCAGGGCAGGGGTGCCAAACGGGTGAGAATTCGGCTCTGGGGGCCCTGGGACTCCACCAATCACACCCCACGCATCCCTTCTGAATCTCAGTCCCTTTGGTTGTCTCCCGGAGCACTCGCCTAAGATCCCAGCCCAGGGCTCCGGGAGGGGCGCGGTGGAGGAGGGGAGGAAGCCTTGACCTTCTGTCTGGGCTCAGGGCAGAGACATGCACGGCCCCCTCGCCCCCACCCCCGGCTGCCTCTGTCCTTCGGGCGGCTGTCTGTGAGCCAGCACTCTCGGGAGGCGGACACAGGACAGCACTGCGCGTCCTTTACTCTGAGGCATCCGACAGCTGCTCCTCAGACTCCAGCGCTGAGCACACGCCCCCCTGCCCCCCCCCCATGAGGACTGGGCCGAGGTGCTGGGTGGGCGGGGCAGGGTCCGTGCCAGGCACTCCGGGTATAAACAGCCGCCACGTATGGAGCCGGCACAACCTCCCTCGGACCCCTGGACCCGTTGGCAGCTGGAAGCCCAAAGCCCCGGAGATGAAGGCCCTGCTCCTGCCCATCGCCCTCAGCCTGCTCACCGCCCTGCGGGCCCAGGAACCCCCATCCTGCCCTCTGGAGCCCCAGCAGGTGAGCCTGGTGGAGGGGAAGGCAGTGACCCGTGGGGGCCACATGACCAGGCCCATCTCAGGAGGTGGGCTCTGGCCCCGGGCTCCCCGCAGGAAAGGGTCGGGGAGCAGGGGGCTCTCTGTTCGACTCTCAGTCAGGCCCCTGCTCAGCCCAGGGCTGCCGGGCGAGCAGCTCCAGCTCAGGGCCCAGGGAAGCGACTCCTGGGACCCCCGACGGCCTGGCTGTGCCCTCCGCAGAGAAGACGTGTTGGGTGTGGAACCTGCTCCCCGAAGACGATGGGCATCCTGCCTCTGTTTAGCACCGGGAGCCCTGCACGCCAGGCTGTTCTGACTGATGCCCAGGGTGCAGATGTGCTGGACCCCAGCCTGCCCTGGGGGAGGCAGGTGGTGGGCGCCCCGTGCTGGGGGCTCATGGCCCCGCCTCGCTCAGATCGCAGGGACTTGGTATGTGAAGGCCGTGGTGACCGACAAGAACATGCCTAAGGAGATGAGGCCCAGGAAGTCATCCCCTGTGACCTTGACGGCCCTGGGCGGCGGGGACCTGGAAATCAGGTTCACCTTAATGTGCGTGTTGCCACCCCCCACACCCCCCCACCATCGCTGGTCCTGCTGTCCCTTCCCCTCCCCCTAAATGGGTCGAGGGTGGCCTGGGGCCAGCCCCTCAGGACACCTCTTCCCACCCCAGGTTGGGGTGCTTGCTAAGATGCACATCCCCTGGACCTCGAGGGGAAAGAGTCCTGGGTGGTGGGGGTTGACGGTGCCATCTGGGGGACGTTGGGTGAGAGACCCACGTGCCAGGCCAGCTCGGGTGGGCCCAGGCGTGATTGCGGAGCGTGGCTCCCTTGCTCCTCGTGTGTCCCAGGAAGGAGGACCAGTGCCATGAGAAGATAACAAGGATGCAGCCGACCGGGGAGCCCGGCAAATACAGCGCCAGTAAGTCCCTGCCCAGCCACGCCACACAGCAGGGCCCCGGCCCCGGCCTCACCCTCCCCGTGGGCGGCCTCACTGCCCAGGGTCCCCGCCCTGTCCCCACTCAGAGTCTCACCCCTCCCTTCCCAGGGGTCTTGATCTGACACCAGACACCAGATGGGACAGGTCTGTCCACAACAGGATGAAGGAACCGCCCCCGCTTCCTCCGGGTGGTCCTGGCTGTCCACCCCATGGGGAAGCAAGGTTCGGGATGGGGGGGCAGGCGGGGCAGCTGCTGGAGCCTGCAGGGTCCGGCCCAGCCTCCAAGCCTCCAGCCTCTCTGACTCCACACCTCCGGTGAGACTTTCCTAGGAGGCTGCTCCTCCCCAGGGTTAGGGCCTTGGTTGGGACAGCAGCGTGTCCTGGACACAGGCCCATGGGGTCCCTGGATGAGGGGGAGCTGGGTACGGCTAGGGTGTCGAGAAGTCCGAATGTTCCAGAATGTTCCTTATTGTGGTCTCCAGTATGTTCTCCAGGAACTGAGACAGTCAAGACGCATTTTCTCTGTCCATCCGCAGGTGGCGGCAAGAAGCACATATACATCCTGGAACTGCCCGTCGAGGGCCACTACATCCTTTTCTGCCAAGGCCAGCTCCAGGGGAAATCAGTCCAAGTGGGGAAGCTCATAGGTGAGGCTCCGCCCTCCTGCCCTCGGATCCCCGTGTCCTGAGCCGCCCCACGGCCTCTGCTTCCAGAAGCCAGAGGAACCGCATCAGCCACTCCTGGTTCCAGAATACAGACCACGTGGTCCGTGTGCACCCAGCACAGTTTACGGCCCAGGAAGCCAGCCCAGGCTTCTTCTGGGACTTGACCACCCCCAGGGGTCACTGCACATGCAGAGTCCTGCTTCCTGGGGTCTTGGACCAGGGCTTGGTCAGTGTGGGGGAGGCAGGAGGCGCTGATGGAGGAATTCTAGGGGCAGGGACACTCACGGGGGGTGAAGTGCAGGAGTCTCTGGTCAGAGGGTTCCTCTGGAAGGGGAGCTCTTCCAGATCAGGGGCCTGACCCTGCAGGGAGCTCTGGGATCCGGCCCGAGTCCCCCCAGAGACTCCAGGGACTCGGGTGTCCCCTGGGGCCTCCCCCGCTCCTTCCCCGGGACCTGTTGGCTGGGAGGGGCCCATCTCCTCTGCACCTGCTCGGCGCCCACCCCAGACGGACCCCTCCTGCCCTGTGCCCTCCCCGGGTGCTGGGAAGTACCCTGCTCCCAGGTGTTTCCCAAGGCATGACTCACCGGGCGCCTGGCCTGCAGGTAGAAATCCTGACGTGAGCCCAGAGGCCCTGGAGGCCTTTAAGAAATTCGCACAGCGCAAGGGCTTGTCCCCGGAGGACGTCTTCACACCTGAGCAGATGGGTGAGGGGCCGGCCCACGGCACCCCCGGGTCCTCTCTACATCCTCTTCACATCCTGGGTCCCTCCCTCCATCCTCTCCTGCTCCTCCCCAGCCCCTGGCCACTCCTGCCCCTCCCCAGCCCCTCCGTGGGGAGCCGTCAGTGCTGTGATGGGTCACAGGGAGCCCGGGGGCCCTGCTCTGGGTCTCCGTGACCCACGTCCGGGCTGCGGGCAGTGATGGGTCTGAACTGCTGTGAGGGGCGTCTTCTCACTCCTGGGCTTGTCTTGGTCTCTACAGAAAGCTGTGAGCCTGCAAGTGACTAGGGTGAGTGGTCCTTGAAGCTGTTGAGGGTCCTAGTTCAGTGGGGCGTCGGGGTCCACCGGGCTCCCCAGGGCAGGCAGAGGGAACCCCACGTGGCCAGGAGGAGGCGTCTCTGCTCTGGGGGCCCCCGGCCGGCCCCACCCTGCAGGGTCTGTTCCTGGGCTTCACTCCGCACGTCAGGCGCCCTCTGCACCCAGGGCTCACTGTTGTGTAAGTCGGGACGTCTGTGCCCGCCCAGCTGTGCACCCGGGAAGATGCATTCCGCCCCCCACGCTGCAGCCCTGGGGGCAGGGAGAGCCCCGTCTGCCCCCTTCCTTCATGACCTCTCCCCTCCTCTCCAGGGCAGGGGGCACTGAGGCTCCACGGCAGGACCCGGGCAGCGCCATCAGGACCCGCCCCCTTCTCCCCCGGCCCTCCCTCCCACCCCTCTGCTCCCCGCCCCGCTTTCTCCCCCAGCCCTCTCTCCCCTCTTCTGGCTTCAAATAAAAAGCTTCAGCGTCTCCAGTGGCTTGGCCTGTCTGTGGGGCCCCTCGGGGGTGAGGGGGGAGGCCGGGGAGGTGGAAGCCTTGCAGGAAGGACCAGAGGACCAGCTCGTGTCCTGGGTCCCCGTGGTGTGTGTCTCTGTCTGATGGGCCTGGGGGTCCGGGGAGAGGCGGGTGCTGGCAGCTCTGCCCGAGGTCCTGGGGGGTCTCTGCAGGTCTGATGCCCACGAGCACAGGTTTGGGTGGTTGTGTGGCTAGGGGAGGAGGCTGATGCCCACGAGTGGAGAATTGGGTGGTCCTGTGGTTGGGGGAGGGTGTGAGGGTGGTGGGGTCAGCCCCAGCCCCAGGTGGGGACACATGTGCAGGTGGGAATTGCCCGGCCCCCCTGGGCCCCCACAGGCTGGAGGCTGAGGTGGGAGTGAGGGGGGCCACTAGGACAGGGATGGCCTGACACTGGGCCACGGACCCGGACGCCTCTGCTGGTCTCCCCCCGGCCCCGCCCAGGCCAGGCTGCACACAGGCGCTGCCCCTGGGGAGGGGACCGCGTCAGCAGTGACCTACTCGCTTCTTCTGATGCCCACCTGCCATCTCCCCAGATCCCCCTGGGGCCTGGCATCATGCCCCCTGACAGCCCGCTGATGGTGACCGTGGTTTCCTTTCTCATGGTGGGAGGAGGATCCTAGTCCAGCCTCTCTGGAGACTGGGGACAAGGGGTCCCTCCACACAGGGTCAGTGCGACTCCCCAGTGGGGGCGGCCAGCTCTCCCGGGCCCTCCTGGACACAGTAGGTCCCACACGGAGATACCAGGTTCCGGGCACTCATTGTGTTCCTTCCTCACAAGGAGACACTGGCAGGGATCCCCCCGCGGTGTGAGCCTCTCACCTGTGTGGGGGCTCCTGGGGCCCAGATCATCGCAGGCCCTGGTGGCATATGTCCACTTCCTGTCATGACAACTCTCCTGGTCCCACTGTCCCTGCAACAGTGCAAGGCCATCACGCCAGGAGCCTGACCTGGGGTCACGGTGAAGGCTGCCTGGTCCTCGGGCTCCTGTCCTGGGATCTGGGCCCGGCACCATTTGTCCACTTGGTGCTGACCTGTCCCTAAGCGATGGGTCCCCTCTGACCTGGCTGTCCCCTGCGAGGCAGAGAAGTGGCTGGGGGCTGGCAGGGCCAGGGCTGTGTCCTGATATTCACGGGTAAGACTCGCGGTGGGGGTGTGAGGACCTGCCTGGTGACAGCCCTCCTTAGACCTGCCCAGGAGGCCTCCCTCCACCTCACCGGGAGAAACCTGGGCTGAGCTGGGGAGCCCTGTGTCCAGCTCCGGCTTCTATGGAGACTGTTTTCAGGGTCTGTCTTCCTGGGGAAAGGCCGCAGGACCCACACGGAGACGCTCTCCTCTGTCTGGGAACCAAGCCCAGCTCTGCCCCAGCACTGTCCATTCCTCAACCACCCTGGGCCTGCCTGGAGGGGTCCAGCTTTGCACTGTCCCGGGGGCTGCAGGGAGGAAGGTCAGGGCAAAATGAGCTGGGGGCAGTAGGATCTGAACAGAATCCTGTAAGCGCACATCCCGCGGGAGGGACGAGGAGGACCTCAGGCGGCTGTGTCCCGCATCAGCCACTGGGCTCATCCCCAGCTGGACCTGGCTCTGGGGTGGAGGCTGAGGAGTGGCACCAAAACAAAACCAGCCCCACGGGCTGGACTGACCCTCACAGTCCCCCGGCCACTGCCCTTCCCCGCTGAGGCCCCCCCCGGGGGTGGGGAGACCCAGCCCTTCCTTCCCACCCACACCTCGCGTGCGGCGGCCAGCCTTCGTCCATTCCCGGCCACCTACACAGCCGCACTTCATCCGTGGGAGGAGCAACCCAACCTGCACATCTAGTTCAAAGGTGTCGGGGAGAATCCTCTGGATCTCACTGCTCTCCTTCCTGGAAACCGGGGTCAGCGTCCATGGCATGTCCAAGGCCCCACTGTCCACTCAGCAGGCGGAGAAGACCCATACCCAGGGGGCTGGCCCTGCGGGGCTTGCCCACCTCCACCCCCTCTTCTTCTTGGGTCAGCCCATAGGTAGTGGGCTGCCCAGGCCACTGCGGCTGGCAGAGAGCACAGGTCGTGGGACCTTTGCTCCCCGTAAAGCTCAGACACTCCAGGTGGCCCCGCCCCTGCTTCTGGGAGGCACAGCCTCCCCGCCTCGCCCCCTCCACCACCTCATTCCAGGACATTTTCATCACCCTGGAAATGCTCCTCACCCTGTGAGCAATCACCCCTTCTTCCTCCTCCCCCCCTGAATCCTGGAAACGGCACTGGAGATGCCTGGCTGCCCCCACGGAGATGCTCTCTGTCTCCATGCATGTGCCTCCTCTGTGCGTTTCTTATCAGAGAAGTCACATCACACGTGGCCTTTCGTGCGCCTCTTTCACCCAGTGTGACATTTCAGGCTCATCCGTGTGGCAGGTGTGGCAGGATGCTCCTTTCATGGACGGTGGTACAGCACTGTGGCTGGACCACGTACGGCTGCCCATTCTTCAGGGAGGGTTGCTCCCATCTTTTGGCTGCAGGGAATAAAGCCGGAGAACAGGCTCGGTCATGGACTCGAGTCCCGGTCTGCACTTCTTTTGGGTCAGGTAAGCCAGGTAAGCGCTGTAGGCTCTCAGCACACCCTCCTGGGGTTTCCTATTCCCCTTCACAAGAGTGATGTCTCTCGGTCCTTCTGTCTGATGGCCCAGCCCGAGGACATGGGGGGGGCGCTGGTTCTGCGCCCCTGTGGTTATTTATTTATATATATATTTTTAACAACTAAACAACACCTCCCCAGGTGGCGCTGGTGGTAAAGAACCCGCCTGCCAATGCAGGAGATGCAGGAGACGCGGGTTCAATCCCTGGGTTGGGAAGACCCCCTGGAGGAGGGCATGGCAACCCACTCCAGTGTTCTTGCCTGGAGAATCCTCATGGATGGAGGAGCCTGGCTAAGTACAGTCCGTGGGGTCACAAAGAGTCAGACACAACTGAGGCGACTAAGCACAAACAGCAACGTTCATCATTTATTTGGCTTTGATGGGTCTTAGTTGCAGCATGTGGGATCTAGTTCTGTGACCAGGGATTGAACCCAGCCCCCCTGCATTGGGAGGGCAGAGTCTTAGCCACTGGACCACCAGTCAGGATTTGTAACTACAAATACTGGATAGACTCTAGCTGATTTAAACAGAAAAACAGTTCAATGAGATTCACGGGAATCTGGACATCCTGACTGGGTCCATGCACATGAACCAGGGGGCAGTGCTCAGCCAGGGACACCCCCATCCCCACTTTAGGAAGAGCCTGGTCCGCTGGTCACGCTGGGCCTTCAGACCCTGGGCTGTGGCCACAGGCATCACTGGTTCTGGACCTGTACTCTGTTATCTTGACGATAGCTTTGTTTCAGACGCCGGGCCTCCAAACTGTGCCAGGACACATCTCTGTTACTTTAAACCATCAACACTGTGCGATAGACACACGCTCAGGGACACACAGACACACTCACACAGGCCACTGTCGTGCCCACAGGCGAGCTGCTCATCTCAGGCTGAGTTACCCCCTCTGAACGCCTGCCTGGAGCTCCTGCCTTCACTCCTGCGAGGCCTGGACCAGCTCCTCCCAGAGACCACCCCCCACAGCCTTTCCTGAGTCCTGCCCCTCGTGAGTGGCCAGCCGAGGCCCTCCTGAAGGAGCTGACATGCTCCCACTCACACCATCTGCCCGCAGACCAGCGCGGCTCTCTCTGTCCGCACCGGCTCCTCCTGGGGCTCCGGGCAGAGCCCGTCTGCTCTCTCCTGGCTCTAGAGTCGCTGGCCCCACAGCCCTTGGCCCCTCCATCTTCCTTCAGACCCCGCAGCGTCCCGTGGAGCCCCCACGTTGGGTCCTCTGACAGCCCCACCCCCACGTCCTCCCTGCCCGGCCCCTCCCGCCCCCTCCCCATAGCAGGGGTGATGACACTGGGCCCCCAGATCACCAGGATTGTCTCCGTCTCACACTGAGGTGACCAGCCCCTCCCGGCCCCTCCCCTGTATCAGGGGTGATGATCCCGGCCGCGGGATCACCAGGATCGTCTCCGTCTCACATCCTCCCTGCTCACCCCCTCCCGCTCCGTCCCCATATCAGGGGTGATGACACTGCCCCCGGGATCACCAGGATCGTCTCCGTCTCACGCTGAGCTGACCACCCCCTCCCGCACCCTCCCCATATCAGGGGTGATGACACTGGGCCCCCGGATCACCAGGATCGTCTCCGTTTCACGCTGAGCTGACCGGCCCCTCCCGCCCCCTCCCCATATCAGGGGTGATGACACTGGGCCCCCAGATCACCAGGATCATCTCCATCTCATGCTGAGCTGACCGGCCCCTCCCGCCCCCTCCCCATAGCAGGGGTGATGACACTGGGCCCCCGGATCACCAGGATCATCTCCGTCTCACGCTGAGCTGACCGGCCCCTCCCGCCCCCTCCCCATAGCAGGGGTGATGACACTGGGCCCCCGGATCACCAGGATCGTCTCCGTCTCACGCTGAGCTGACCGGCCCCTCCCGCCCCCTCCCCATATCAGGGGTGATGACACTGGGCCCCCGGATCACCAGGATCGTCTCCGTCTCACGCTGAGCTGACCGGCCCCTCCCGCACCCTCCCCATATCAGGGGTGATGACACTGGGCCCCCAGATCACCAGGATCGTCTCCGTCTCACGCTGAGCTGACCGGCCCCTCCCGCCCCCTCCCCATATCAGGGGTGATGACACGGGCCCCGGGATCACCAGGATCGTCTCCGTCTCACGCTGAGCTGACCGGCCCCTCCCGCCCCCTCCCCATATCAGGGGTGATGACACTGGGCCCCCGGATCACCAGGATCGTCTCCGTCTCACGCTGAGCTGACCGGCCCCTCCCGCCCCCTCCCCATATCAGGGGTGATGACACTGGGCCCCCGGATCACCAGGATCGTCTCTGTCTCACGCTGAGCTGACCGGCCCCTCCCGCACCCTCCCCATATCAGGGGTGATGACACTGGGCCCCCAGATCACCAGGATCGTCTCCGTCTCACACTGAGCTGACCGGCCCCCTGGTCCAGCCATACCTTCAGGTCTTTGCCCCGAGCCCCACCTGGTCCTCGACTGGCCGGGAAGGGCACGCAGGCGGCGCTGCCAGGACCAGTGAGAGGGACGGTTCTGGGGCCTCTCGGGGGCAGGGCCCACGCCAGGCTGACTGCACGGAGCAGACGTTCCTTCCTGCCACCAGACAGAGAGGACAGGGCCACCGCGTGTGAGGAGCCACGGTGGGGGGGACTCACAGAAGGGCTGAGCCCCGCGGGAGCAGCGGGGGGACCTCCCAGGAGGGGAGCCCCGGCCTCGTGACCTCAGGGTGACGCGCCCCCAGCAGAGGGCTGCACGGTCAGGGGGAGGGGCCACAGAAGGGTCTGGGGTCCGGGGGGGATGGGACCCCCACCACCGGAGTCAGAGCTGTGCAGTGTGGGATCGGCCTGGAGCCTTCCCCTACCTGCGCACAGGCAGACACACTCACACACACTCACTCACACTCACTCATACACGCACACACACACTCATCGACACACACTCACATGCACTCGCACACACTCACAGACACACACACTCACAGACACACAGACACACACACACACTCACAGACACACTCAGACACACTCACACACACACAGACACACTCACACTAACTCACAGACACACACACACATGCACATGGACAGACGTACACACACATGTACACATGCAGAGGAGACACACGGACACACTCACACAGACACACATGCACACATACACACACTCAGACACGCATATCACATGGATGCACATGCAGTACACATATACACACACTCTTGTGCAGACAAGACACCATACACACACGTGTACATCCATACACACAGACAGGCACGCATGCACAGACACATGTGTGCACAGACAAACCCAGATGCACACACGTCTCACACACACACACACACATATGCACAATCACCTGCACAGGGGCCATTTGCACGTGGGTGGAAAGTTCTGGGCGCAGAAAGGCAGAGGAATGGGGGCTGGGGAAGCGAGACCTCTGAGTTTCTGTCGGTGGAGTCGCCCCAGCACCTCGGAGCTGGAACCAGGGAGGAGCGGCCGCGATGGGGGAGGAGGTGGATTTGGGAGGAGGGCAGATGGCTCGGGCTGCGTGGGGAGCAGAGAAGGTTCCAGAGGGTCAGCAAGGCCTCGTGGGTCCTCACTGGGGTACTGACCAGAGCCCAGGAAGATTGATTCAGGCTGCGGGGGGTAAGGGGGCTGCAGTAGGCCTGGTGGGCCGCCTGGAGGAGGTGCTCAGAGCTGACCTGAGGCTGCACCTGGGGCTCAGGAGGTCTGGGGATATTGGGGCATCAGCTCCAAGGCGGGAACTGGAGCCTGGATGGGGACCTGCTCTCCAGGGGCCTCGAGGGACCAGGGCAGGTCCAGGCTTCCCGGGGCTGGTGCAGTCAAGGCCGCGGGGCAGGAGAGGGGAGCACAAGGAAGCCGCTGCCTCATCTCCTGTCTCTGAAGCCAGAGGCACCGCTTCCCGTTCTGATAACATTCTCCTCCCAGACAAGGTTTCTCCAGACTTGTCCGACCCCAGAGTCATGGGAGCCAGTGACACATGATTGAGAACTTCCATTCACGGGATCCAAAGAAAACGATGCCTGCCCACCCACCCCGCTGGAATGAGGGGTCTTTCTGAAGGAGAGGGGGCAGGGCCTGCCAGTCCGGGAGTAAATGGGTGACCTGGAGGCCAGGCGCCCCCAGAGCGGACACGGGGACCCTGGCCGGGCAGCTGCTCCTCCTGATGGCCAGGCTGGGTCTGCTCTCCATGCTGGGGGCCTAGGGGCCCCCGCTGATCCCCACCAGCATTCAGGAGGTGAGGGGCTCTGAGAGGGTGGGGTGGGGGGATGACTGTGGCCCAGGTCAGGCGCCTGCCCTGGGCTAGGGTCCCAGTCCTGCGGCTCCCACCCCCAGAGGACTTGGCTACAGTCCCCTGTCTGTGTCTTTGGGAACATCTCCAGGCAAAGGAGAGGGCTTCCTCCAGGGTCCTGGGCAGCGGGGCTCAGTGAGGCCTCAGACAGATGGTTCCTGATGAGGGGGCTTGCCCAGCCCCCAGACCTGTTTCCTTCTCAGGCTGTGGTTCCCAGAAACTTCTCTCTGTTCATCCGAGAGGACTCTTGTCTGACCGTCCATTTTGCAGTGAGAGGATAGTGTGTGAAGGTCTTCGTGGAAACCATGCATTTGTGCCAATAACTTGTGACTCTTAAAAGCTCAGTTATGGCTCACGGTGAGCTCAGGGCCCTGTGAATGCCCTCCACGCCAGGGCCTTGTCACTTGGGTTGGGGTATCCGTTGCAGCCTCCTCATCTTTGCTGCCCTCACCCCATCCCTGGTGCCTCTGGGCATCCAGGCAGCTTGTCCAGGTGCCCCCACCCCCCCTAGTGACCAGTCACTCGCATCCCCTCCTGACCAGGGGCATCCGTCCCCCCACTGCCCACTGCGCACCACCTCCGCTCTCCAGGAGCTGGTCAAGCCTGTACTGAGAAAGCCAAGGCAGGCCAGGTCATGCCCTGGTTAACCCCACCCTTGCTCACGGACTGCCTCCCCGCCCCCACCAACCCAGATCCAGCTTTTAGGAAACCGGTACATCAGGCGATGGGCAGGAAACATGGCGATCCCCAAGGAGAAGAAGGGACACCCCCTGCCCCCCCTTCCAGTTTGGGATGAACAGTCTGGACAAGCTGGAGTTCAGGACGAACGTCAGGTGAGCACCCCTCTCCCGCACCTTCCCTCGCCCACTGGTGTGTCCCCGGCCCCGACCCTCTGCATGGGAAACAGGCCCGCCTCCCACTGGAACCCTCAGCCTGATCCCTCCCTGCTGGACAGAGGCCTCCTGAGGCCCTGGTCCTGTGGCCTCGCTCCCCCAGACCCGCGAAACCATGGGGGCCTCACCCAGCCCGACGTGAACGCCACGGCAACCGTCCGCCGCTCCCCGCGGGCCTCAGGCACTCCCTCCGGTGGAAGCCGCAGCCTGGTGCTGGTCTGGCTCCCACGTGCCCACAGAGGCCTCTGCTCAGGGCTCTGTGGTCGGTGAGCGGACCACAGGGTTGGGGCTGAAGGCGATGTGAAGGACTGGGGGGGTCTGAGACGCACCCCTACCGGAACCACCCCAGCACCGGGAGAGAGTGGTCTGAGCCTCATTCGTTTTGGGCAAAAATAGCCCAAATTGTCCTATAATTCAGTGCGGGGGTCCTTCTGATGCTGACTGCCTGGCTTGCCTCCTGGCTGGGACCACCCAAGAACACGGAGGGGGCGAGCCGTCCACGGGAAGCCGGCCATCGCGGGGAAGGAAGGGCCGGGCGGCCGAGGGCCTTCGGGAACCGGCCGAGGTCTGCGGCTGGGCTGTGTGCAGTGCGGCCAGCACACCAGACCTCGACCTGCCCCCCCACCCCCAGCTGCTTCCCCTGCCTGAACGAGGCAACCTTGGGGTGGGGACCTCGCTGCAGGGCTTCAGGGAGGGGCTCTGGGAGCCCGGCAGGCAGGGTGCCTGGGCGGGAACAGGGGCTGGTCGGGTGGGAGGGCGAGGCGGCCAGGCTGCGCTGTGTCCAGGCACCTGTCTGTAACTCCTGCCTTCCAGGGAGCCCATCGGATGCGTGCAGAACAAGCTGCCCCTGAGCGGAGGGTTGAACCCCGGCTACTTCAGCGCCTCTGAGTGGCCAGTGCCTGTTCCCCCGTGAAGCAGACGGGGGTGGGGAGGCCTGAGACCCTGAGGATCCTCGTGTCGCCTGCAGGGCGGAGGCACGCATCTCTATAGACTTCCTGCCGGGGAAGGGGTACGCGGTCGTGCACTCCCAGGGCAGGATGGACAGGACCTACTTCCGCATGGCCATGCTCATTGGTGCGCCAGCGCTTTCTGAGGTCCAGGGGTCTGGCTCGGGGGGCCCTGGTCCCTGACTGCGCAGAGCCTCCCTGTGGGAGGGCGATTTGCAAGCTCTCTCGACGGCTCTTGTCCACCATCTCGTGTAACCATTCCCGTTGTCCGGTGCCCACCTCTTCCGTGACCCTCCGCCCCGTCCTTCCTCAGTCGGCCTCTGGTCTGGCCACGCCCTGGATCGGGGGGCTCCAAACGGGGTCCCTGGGGGCCCTGGGCGATGCCGGGAGACGTCCGTGGTTGCCGTGACCGGGGAGGGAGGTGGACCACGCACCTGGTGGTGAACGCTGCCCCGCACCACGCGCAGGATGAACGGGGTCGGGAGGCCCCGCCCTCGACCTTGCACGGCAATGACCCTGGCCATGCCGGGTCCCCGTTTTGCAGCTGCGACGATCTGATGGCCAGCTTGCCCGTTTCTCCCAAGGTTCTCTGAGTGTCCAGACTGCCCCTCTGTGCACTGCCCCCGTCACACCTGTCCTTGCAGCACCCCCGATGTGCCCAGCAGGGACAGTCCTTGCCACGCTCCCAGCTTCTGTGCCCACCAGGTCAAGACCCAGGGAGTGGACGCCGTCTGGGTGCCTCCTGTGACTCAGACCACAGGGCCTCAGTGGCCCCCAGCCCCTGATGTCCCCTCAGTGTCCCCACTTCAGACCGCACGCCCCACCATCCAGCCTCCTTCTTGGGACATCTGGGTGGGGAAGGCCCCATCCGTGGGCACCCCCAGGGAGAGCGGCTGGAGTCTTAATGAGACCTGGCCGGCCTGCTCAGCTGCCCAGACGCACGTCCACCCATCCCCTTCAGGCTGCTCCCTGGAGGAGAGCCCAGAGGCCCTGAGAACCTTCGAGGAGTTTGTGGAGAGCAAAGGGCTAAACAAGACAGAAATGGTCAGCCCCTGCACGTGGGTAAGGGTCGGATCTCCCCCTCTTTTCCCTCCTGGCTGGGACCAGAGGCTCGACCCCCGGGATGCCCGAGCATCCCGTGTGGGCGCCCCGTCAGGCCCGCAGGCAAATGTCCATGGGGCCGCATCTGCTTGTGCAGCTGCCTGTGTTGGAAGAGCACTTAGTACCGGGGCCCACAGGACGTCATCGAGCGCCGCCCGCTCCAGCTCGGGGAGCCACCCTGTCCTCCCGCAGCCAACGCCGCCCTCAGCAGGGGCGGACGCACCCGTTTCTAACCGACAGGCAGGGGATCAGTGACACCGTGATCTTTCCCCCGGAAACCCCAGGGCCCCTCACCCCCCGACCCCAGTTCCCACAGGACAAATCTTGTGTGATTCCGCTCACGTGGGGCCCCGTGGAGACTGGACTAGACGGTGGGGCCAGGGACTGGCATGGGGGTGAGTGTCTCATGGGGACTGAGGGTCAGTTTGGGAAGATGAGAAAGTTCTGGAGATACAGTGGTAGCGGCTGCCCAGCAATGGGAACATGTTGATACCCCTGAGCTGTGCACTGAAGCATGGTGAAGATGGCAACATTTATGTTACTTATGTTTTCCCATAAAAAATTTTTAATATTCCATTGATAATTGCTCTCGAGAAAACTGACATTCTTACATCGGGCTTCCTTACGTAAAGTCTTAGGCTCTATCTTCCTTTTGCGTTGCCGCACACATGCTCAGTCGCGTCTGACTCTTTACGGCCGCGTGGACTGTAGCCCAGAAGGCTCTTCTGTCCGTGGAATTTTCCACGAGTGGAGTGAGATGCCGTTTCCTACCCCAGGGGATCTCCCCAACCCAGGGATCAAACCCTTGTCTCTTGTGTCTCCTGCCTTGGCAAGCAGGTTCTTTACCGCCGGCGCCACCTGGGAAGCCAAGGGTGGCTCCCCGTGACCCTGGGAAGTCAAGTTGCTCGGAGTTCCCTGAAAGGTTTCCAAAGCTGCCCTAGAAAAGTCCCTGCACTTGTCTGTTAGGCATGGCAGGTGTTTCATTATTTTGTTCATATTTCAAATGACTCTTTACCTGCTTTAGAACTTATAACTGCTTGTTGTTTATGTATGAAGAGACTGCTTCCTAAGCTACTTCTGTTCGTGTTCTTTTTTACTCTAGAAATTTATTTATTTATTTTCAACAACTCAGTGTTTGTCTTCTTATGAGTCACTGAGTGTCTGTCATTTATAGTTGACCCCTAGTTGATTTTCTTGGGCTTTCTAGATACACAAGCGCATCACCTATCTGTGGCGGTCGGTTTACTTTCCTCTTCCCAGTTTTTATACTTCTGTTTTTCCCGCTTATGTAATTGCATTAACAAATAGGCTGGTATGATGTTAGGTAGTAATGTTTTTTTATGACGTACTCTTGTTGTTCCTGAAAGTTAGAAAATCTGTCTGTATAGGTCAGCACATGCACATGAAAGAAAACTCTATGACTATTTCATTAGATGCTGAAAAGCATTTGATAAAAAACGCCACACAACCAGAGTACCAAACCCTCCCAGCAAACTGCAAACAGAATGTTTCCTCAACCTCATGAAGTCTTGTTTCTCAGAAACCTGAGTTCACACCACACTTAACTCTGAAATAGTACATGTGTTCCCACAATTTGGCAATGAGTCTAGAATACCCATTTCATCTCTGTGGGTGCCAGCTTGCTAGTGATTGCTGCCAATGCAATAAGACAAGAAAAAAAAAAGATTTATAGAGACTAGATCAGGTGAGCACAAAGGGGTAACTACCACTTCTGTGATTTTCTACATAGAGACAAAGTCAGCTGGGAATCACTGGACCTAGTGCAAAGTATTACCCAGATGGTGTTTGTCAATGGAAAGATATTGCTGCCTTGTCACTAAACAAGAATGTTGCAGCCATTGAGCCATCACGTTACAGCTGCTGGAGGGTGAGCGCTGAGGGAACTCGGGACGGAGGCAGGATGCCCCCCATCTAGCAGTCAGCCACCCTCCCATGGGGCATCCCGAGGACACTCAGGAAGAAAAGCCCAGGACAGGGGCCCCAGATAGTTAAGGTACACATCAAAAGAATGATTTCAGTGAGCCCAGACTTTACACCTTCCCATACATAGAAAAGCACTAAATTCCTTAACTTGATATATCTGGTTTCACTTAATTTACAGTAATTGTTTGATGTTCCCACTATCTGGTATTCATTGCAAAAACTCCCAAATGTCCCTTCTTGCTTCTTTGGAATATTTTCTCAGGGTTATCTGAGATGCTGCGTCCTGGGACTAAGTCCTCAGTTTTGTCTGTGAAATAAAATGTAACTCAGCTTCTTAGTTGTGCTTTTTTTTTTTTTTCAGTTGACATGGTATAGGGGGTTTCTTTTCCAAAATGCCAAAATCCAGCTGGATATTTGACAGAAGAACTATGTGAAGTCTACATTAGCAGAAGCAGCAAAGCACCAAGAAGTAAGCCTTAGGGCAAATGTGCAAGACTATGCACATTCTTCACTGCTCTGAAGAAATCTGTACAACCTGGGCTGCAGGACGCTGGCTGTCACCACAGCAACACCGGTCCCCAAATAAATATATAAGTATACCCCAAACACAGTAAAAGTCCATGGTTTTTTCATGAAAATAACAAGGCATTTTAATATTTGTATGGAAGGATAAATGCATAAGAATGACCAGTCTCTTCTGATAAAGGGAACAGTGAGGGAAACTTGACTGATCAGGTACCAACCTGATGCAGATCTGGTGATGGCAGGTGATGCTACTGGGCATGCTGGGCACGGAGGAGTCCAGGGACAGACTGGTGTGCAGGTGGGGATTTGCTCTGTGATTATGTTGATAAATTAAGTCAGAGAGGGAAATGTTTTTCAGTGAATACACACACACACACATACACTGGCACACACAACAAAACATCAGTATTTAGAAGGCATGCCTCTGAAATACACATAAATCACTCTGCCTGGACAGGCTAGCTTGCTGTGGGGAACCTTCCACGGATCTCAGAGGCTCATGACAACACGAGTTACGTTTCTCAATTATAAGATGGAGAAAAAGCAGGAAAACATGGTCTCCTCGTTAGGACACAGTGGGCCATGATGGGCTAGTGCTCACAGGACAAATGGGGTACAAGACCCAGGAATATCTGGGGAGACAGGAGAGTTCACAGACGCTTTGGGTGATGGGAAGGGGCACTGCACAAGAGGACCATGGATGGATGGGACCCAGGCCCTGGTGAGGACACAAACACGTTAAAAATAAGAATAAATTTGCATTTCTGGTTGAAAATAAGGGAGGAGATTTCCCTCCCTTCCCTTATCTTTGGGCATTTATCCCCATCTGTCTCTGGGGGCAGTGGGCAACTCGTTCCAACCGGAAAACCATCTCCCATCCTTGATGTGAGACTCTCAGTCGTCCTCCATGAAGCCAGTTTGCTAACACGGTCATGCCCAGGTGAACTGTGATGGGAGATGTCCAGCTCTCTTGCCGGGGACCTGTACCAGGGTGGTTCCCATGGGGGTGAGAGGATGTGGCTGCAGGGATGTGCTCTGCAGTGGTGGCTTGGCCAGAAGCGGGAATAGTGTGGGAGCTTGGAAAACACAAGGTAAGAAGTTTCTGGGCCCTGTGACTGCAGCCTCTCGGTCAATACATCCCAGAGGTCACACATGGATGATTCAAGGGTTTTTCACTTTGCAAAAACCATGGAAACTCTCAAGAAGGCAGGGAGAGGATGGTGGGATGAGTCCTTTGGACCCAGCACTCATCTTCAACAGTGACCAGCACCCCACAACCCCGGCACTCCTTCCCACGGTGTCAGACCCAGGAAACCCTCCCTATCTGATAGTTACAGGAAAACACATCTCTCTATGTGGCATCTTAAAAAATGATGCAAATGAACTTATCGAAAAAACAGAAACAGACTGACAGACTTTGAATACAAACTACTATTACCAAAGGGGAAAGGGGGGAGATAAATTAGGAGTTTGGGATTAACATCTACACGCTATTATAGATAAAATAGGTAGACAACAGGACCTACTGTATAGCACAGGGAAATATATGCACTCAATATTCTATAACAACCTATATGGGAGAAGAATTTGAAAAAGAATGACCATACGTATAACTGGATCACTTTGCTATACACCTGAAACTAACACAATGTTGTAAATCAAATAAAAGTGAAAGGGTTAGTCACTCAGTCGTGTCCGACTCTTTGCGACCCCATGGACTGTAGCCCACCAGGCTCCTCTGTCCATGGAATTCTCCAGGTAAGAATACTGGAGTGGGTAGCCATTCCTTTCTCCAGGGGATCTTCCCCACCCAGGGAACCAACCCATGTCTCCTGCATTGGCAGGTGGATTCTTTACCACCAGGGAAGTCCCCCCAAAACTATACTTCAACTATACTTCAATAAAATAAAAAATTAAACTACGAAAAGTATAAGACGCATCTTTCCTGGATGTCACCCCAAGCAGAGCTGTGTGCCATGATCACGCTTAGCTGACAGTCACAACAATTTCTTTCCCTTCTTACGATTTCTTTTTATTCTTACATTAAACCCATGAGATAAATGGTTTTATTATCCCCAACTGTTATATACATGAGAAAATCAAGATGCAGAAATATATATATATATAATCTTGAGGACCTTCCTGCTGGCCCAGTGGTTAAGACTCTACCTTCCAATGCAGGAGACAGGGGTTCAATCCCTTGTCAGGGAACCAGATTCCACATGCCATATATTTTAAATTATAATAATAATTTTAAAAAATGTTTAAGCGAAAAGGAAATATGTATATAATAGTCTCAAGATCACAGAGATGCTAAGTGATGTAGCTATGAAGTCGGCATGAGGCTGCGTGACGGTTCTTCATAACCTCTCTCCAGTCCACATTCTTACCTTGCACTCAACTGTGTCAGGCCAGTCCCTGCCCCGCGGTTCTGGGTGGACCCCGGGGGAACACCATCCTTGAGGGATTCTCCAGGTGATTCTGCGGAGCCCTAAGGGGTGAGAACCACTCCCTAAATAATGGGGATGGCCAAGATGGACTCACGTTTGTTTCAAAGAAAAGAATTGGGTCACATTTGGACTGGAGACTTCCCTCTGGCAGCTGAACATGCGACGGGGCGGGCAGGGAGGGGTAGGGTGTTTCAGTCATCTCGCCCATAAACACTTATTTGTGGGTCTCAAATGAGGGAAATGCTATGGGGAGCATAACAGAAAAGGTAGGTTTAAGAGATTATTTTGGGGGTGAAGATGTCAAGACCGCGTGGACGCAACACACTGACCCCAGGTTCTCCTGCTGCCAAACAGACAGAGCTCTGGGACACAGAGGTGACGGGATTGGGGGAGAGGACCCAGTTCAGGCTGTCGTGTCCAGCAGGCTGACCCCGGAAGAGCTCCTGGCGCTGGTAACCAGCCTGGACCCACAGCCCAGACAACCCCCCCCCCCATCTGGGGCCTAACAGGAACCGTCCAGCCCCAGGACACAAGGGGCCTTCCTGCTTGGCCTCGGAGGGAAGAAGGCCTCCTATTGTCCTGGTCGAGGAAGCTGCCTGAGGGCCCGAGGATGGGCCAGGGGGAATTTGGGGAACCGCGTGGCGGGGGCCGGCCCGGGCTGACTGGCCGGCCCTGCTCCTGTATAAGGCCCCGAGCCCGCTGCCTCAGACCTCCACTCCCTGCAGAGCTCAGAAGCGCCACCCCGGCTGCAGCGTGAAGCGCCCCTGCTCGCCCTGCGCCTGGCCTGGCGTGTGGCACCCAGACCCTCGTCATCACCCAGACCACGAAGGGCCTGAGGCTGAGGGTGGCCGGGGGGGCGGCGAGCTGCAGGGGAGCTGGGCCGCGGAGGCCTGAAGGCACAGCTATGGAAGACATGGTGATAGGAAACCCTCTTCAGGGAGCACACGGCTTGTTCCCCGAGACCCAGACGGTCCTAAGCGAGGCTCGTGACGTGGACTTTAAATCCACTTGGGTTATCAGAGAAGCGTTACGGCAGGTGCAGGAAATTCTAGAGCCCAGTGTCCACTAGAGAGCAGAGGGTCGTCCTATGTCACCGCCCCCTCTTCATTAGACCTGGCCTGGCCTGGCGGGGTGGGACCTCCTTTCTGCCCCCTCCAGCCCAGGTGGCAGGGACGTGGCACTCCGAGGCCGTGGCAGCCAGCGACATCTCCCTCCTGGACGCTGAGGGCACGCCCGGCCCCCCGAGAGTGTACACGGATGAGCTGAGGCCCATCCCGAGGGACTGGAGATCCTGGAGACCCCTGGAGATCCCCCTGCAGAAACGATGGGTGTCCCCCGCAGTAGATCTGCCCCTCCCCGGGCTGCAGGCCTGCAAGGGAGGGCTCCTGGCTGGACCCAGCTCCACTGTGGGCAGGACCAGGGCCCCAGGGAGTGGGGATGGAGCTCACAGGTCCCTGTGCCCTTGGAGCCCTGCCCAGGGCTTCAGGCCTCACAGGACGGCCCTGGGGTCGGTGTGGGGAGACGCTCATGTGAAGGCCACCGCTGGGCAGCTGCTGGCCTGGGTCCTCGGGGCCTGGGCAGTTCCCAGCAGGAGCCCCGAATGGGCAGAGGGATTATAGTGAGTGAGGGCAGCTCAAGTTCAAGCGTCACTACGTGAGGCTGGCATCGCAGGGCAGGGAGGACGGCAGGCGTCAGCAGGAAGCGCTCTGCGGGGAAGACGAGAGCCGCAACGCTCAACATCAACTGACCACACCCAGCCCATGGGCTGCTCGGAGCTCAGACCAGGGAGAGGCTGGGCCGCCTGACTCTGACCCGCCAGCAGTGCTTTGTCTGGGTGGGGGGCACTGCCTGGACGTGGGGGCTCCCAGGCCTGGACACGAGCCTTTCATGCGCGGTTCCCTGCAGCCTCACGCTGGAGCCAGGGCAGCATGAATTCCTCCAAGACCGTTCTCGTGGGTCGGTTCTGGCTCACAAAGACGGGGCCTGCCCCTGCTCACACATCTCTCTGAGCCCCCGGGCCCTTTGCTGGTGATACAGGGACCAGGGCATCACTTGAGAGAGCACACACAGCATCTTCCTGTTCTATTGAATTTTCCATGACTGTTTGCAACATGTGGGGCTTTCTGGTGAAATATTGAAAAAAAAAAGAAAAGGTGGAGACTAAGTGTCCAGGTCAGAGCCTCTTGTCTGCTTGTGGACAACTGTCTTAAAACAGAAACAAAAGGACGCAAGAGAAATAGCTGGTGGCTCTTCCGCTGCAAACGGTCTTGTTTCTCACACTGAGACTCACTGTGGGCCATCCTGACCCTCCTCCGAGTCCAGTCACTCCCCGTGGCCTGCGTCCTGGGTCTCTACCCTCTCAGCTCCCCCTTCCCACATGCAAACCCCTCTCCCTCCTTCCTTCGGCTCTTTCCGCCCCGACCCCGAGTGCTGAGCGTGCTGCTCTGCTCTTCAGAGCCCAGAGTCCAGCCCCAGCTCCTCGCGTGCCATCTGCAGCGCCTGCCTCTGCCCTGCCCACCTGGCGGTCTGCTTGCACCTGCCTCTGCCCTGCCCACCTGGCGGTCTGCCCACCTGGCGGTCTGCTGCACCTCCTCTGCCCCGCCCACCTGGCGGTCTGCCCACCTGGCGGTCTGCTGCACCTCCTCTGCCCTGCCCACCTGGCGGTCTGCCCACCTGGCGGTCTGCTGCACCTCCTCTGCCCTGCCCACCTGGCCCCTCGCCTTCAGCAGGGGCTTCGGCTCTGCAGGACTTCATCTCTCCTTTCCTGCTGCCTCTGGTGCTGCCCCCTGGTGGCTGCGGGATGAAGGATCCAGTCACCTGCAGGGTACCGCCAGCAGCACGGCTGTCACCTTCAACAAGGATGAAAACAAAACAAAAAACACAGAAGAGAAACTCAACAAATCCCGGCACCTGTGTCCCAGGTGTGGGGGTGGGATGAGGGTGGAGGGTTTAGTTCACCTGCCAGAAACACCTGGGAGACACACAAGTCAAACGTTACCAGGAGCCATCAGTGGCCACAGATGGAGAGGAAGTTATTTAAAAGAATCGTAAGGGACTGATTATGCTGTTCAACGGTAACCTAATGTGCTTAAAGCACAGATGGATGATTTTCAAGGCAAATATAACCCTGATGCAACAACTGTTTTGAAAAGACCCTGATGCTGGGAAAGATTGAGGGCAGGATGAGAAAAGGGTGACAGAGGATGAGATGGTTGGATGCCATCATTGACTCAATGGGCATGAGTTTGAGCAAACTCTGGGAGATGGTGGAGGACAGGGAAGCCTGGAGTGCTGTGGCCATGGGGTCATCAACAACAACAACAAGTGCTCCAAACAGACGAGAGCAACTAGAGGAAAAGGAGACAAGTCCCTCATCAAGACAGACGGAGCTCCCATCCCAGCACCCCACCCCAGCACCCAGAAGGCAGCTTTCTGGGAATCCCTGCTCCTTTAGGGAGTAAGCAGCTCCCGGGCTGGGGGGGGGCAGAGGCAGAGCTTCACATTCTCCTACAGCCCTGGGAAAAGGTCTCCATCCAAGCCTGATGAGAAAGCATGGTGAAGGAAGCTGTAACTCTAATATTTAGTGCTTGCATAGCATGGAGGAGAGTTCTGTGTGTCCTACACACCTCTGGTCATTTCACACACCTCATTTGCTCGCTGAGATCCAACAGTGGGCTCTGCCTGGGTCAGCAGCTGACCCGACGTCCGTGTACCGCCCACCCCGCCTCCTGCTTTTATGGTCAAGACATTCTGTGCATCTACACAAAACCCTAAAGACCTGGCTGTTAACAGAAGTGGGGTCTGACTGCTCACCACTTCAAAGCCAGTCAAGAGGCCCAGGTGGTGGAAAGGAAGACTTGCTTTACTTTGGAGGCTGCCAACCAAGGAAGCGGGGATCAGGGCAGGGGAGGGCAGACTCTGCCCTAAAGCTGACTCCACCCCCCTACTGACGACCAGAGGGCTAGAGCTTTTATAGCTGGAAGGAGGGGGCTACATGCAGAAACAGCAGTCAGCTCTGACAGTCACCTTGAAATTGCTCATGCGTTGATCTCACCAGCGTCATCTTGCTTGTTTTAACTATCATTAACCTTCAGTTCCAGGGTCAGTTGGTTCCCACTTCCTTGAGGCCAGTTCTTGGAATTGGGGCAGTTTATGCTGCGATTCATGGGGTCGCAAAGAGTCGGACACGACTGAGCGACTGAACCGAACTGAAATGACTGATGTCAAGTCTGGTTATCATGTAGTTAACTGCTTCCACCTGGTGGAGTTTTCGGTATCTACAAGACAGCTCCCAGGATGTGGCTCAGAATATCATCTACAGCCCTCGAAGCGGAACCAAAGGTCCTTGACTTTGCTTAATGACTGAACTATTATTATTTTGTCCTGATGAAACGTTCTTGGCTGAAGTTTTCTACAGACAAAAGGCAGGTGGAGGAGATGGTGGGGAGGACCATAGGTTCTGCTCCGTTACATAATTGTCCCTAGAATCCAATAGCCCAGCGAGCCTCTGGGCTAATGACAGGCCCAGAAGACGTCGCCAATAATAAAGATCAAGAGCAACAACGATTTCTGTGTACATGATGAGGCCTGTTAAAAGCTCTTTCCTTCAGTTCTCTAAAGGGATATGGAGCAATTTCCAGGATCACTGTTCATGAAGAAAAGGGAAAGCAGAAGCTCAAGTGCCCTGCGTGCTGACTTTCTTGGGAGAGAGAACAGAAGAACACACAGGTGTGTTTGGAGAGAGAAGTTCTCCAGGAACGCTGGACACTACCGAACCTGGGTCCTGGCGGGGCAGAAGTGGGCGGAGAGGTAGGGAGAGAACTGAGCCTTTTGTGAGCGAACTTTTCATGTGACTCAACTTTTGAATCAGTTAATGGCTTAAGACCAGGGGCTTCCCTGGGCTTCCCTGGTGGTTCAGATGGTAAAGAATCCGCCTGCAATGCAGGAGACGCAGGTTCAGTCCCTGGGTCGGGAAGATCCCCTGGAGGAGGAAATGACAACCCACTCCAGTATTCTGGCCTGGAGAATCCCATGGACAGAGGAGCCTGGCGGGCTGCAGTCCACGGGGCCACAGAGGTGGACATGACTGAGCAAATGAACACATACACATCAGATTTTGAGGGGACACATGTATACCTGTGGCTAATTCCTGTTGATATATGGCAAAAACCATCACAATATTGTAAAGCAATTATCCTCTAATTAAAACAAATATAATACACAATAAATAAATAATAAATTTATTATTAAAAATAATTTTGAAGTGATCAATCTTGATAGTATCAATATGATTTTACGATTTTTCTCATAATCTATTCATATTGCTATGATGATTTTTATCAGTAGATTTACAAATATGAAAACTTCTCACCATCCTAAAATGAATCTCTGTGTATCACCCTTTAAAAGTGTTGCTTTGTTCTGTTTGATAATATTTTAGTTAGTATTTTTAGATACTAAAATAGAGACATCTGTAAGTTTCTAGTTAGGTTTTGAAAGTCTTACCTTCATAAAAATGATGAAAACTTCCCCTAATTTTCTAGCATTCTAACTAATTGCTCCTTAAAGTTGTGCTAAATTTTCCCTGTAAAACTGTCCAGAACTGGTGGTTTTTTTTTTTTTTTAGGGGGGGAATAACTCTTTAATAACTTGTTTTCTAGATTTTCTAGAATATTCTTCCATTAACATAGCCTTTTCACTGTCAGGTAGAGTAATTTTCATTTTTCTAGAAAATTACCTGCTTCATGGACGTTTTTATTATTTCCCCACGGACTTAAGCAAACCTTTTCTTTCTAATGGTTTTTCAGTTTCTTCCCTTTTGGTGGTTTCTTTCACAATAGCGTTTATTATTTTACGTGTTTTTCTCCTCTTTTAAGATTGCTACCTAAAGGTACATCTGTTTCATGGGTAGTTCTGAAGAATTGGTCAGATACCGCACACTTCCGTCCAGTTTACCTGCTTATTTCCGGCTGTGCTGGTCTCCGTTGCTGCAAGCTGGCTTTCTCTAGCAGTGGGGTGTGGGGGCTACTCTTGGTTGCAGTGCATGGGCTCTTGGCTCATGGGGTTCGGTACTTGTGGCCCACGGGCTTAGCTACCCCTTGACCCATGGAATCTTCCCAGACCAGGGATGGAGCCCATGTCTCCTGCACTGGCAGGCGGAATCTTAACCACTGGACCACCAGGGAAGTCCTCATCCTTTGATTTTCTAATTCCGTAGTTCCTGCTTTTATATGCGTCTCTCCTTCCTTACTGTCTGTTGTGTTTACCCCCTAATTTTTCAGTGGTATGGCTAATTAATTCCTTTTCATTCTTCTTGTCTATTAAGATTATTTTTAGGACAACAGGTTCTCCTGGGAGCACTGCTTTAAAGGGGTCCCTCAGGTTCTGATGGGCTGGGCTCTCCTTTTGATTTTCTCATATTCTTCCATTTTCTCTTTAACTTGAGAGTTGCACTGCAATTTTCATCTTCTTGTAGTAAAAAGAATAGTCTGACTCAGGAAGGAGGAGGCTCCGATTTTGTTCACCCTAAAACATGAGTTGCAGGGGCAGAAAGTGTCCCTTTGCCGGGCTCATCGTGTGTATCGAGTCCATCTGGTGGGGTAGGGAGGCTGGGGGATGACAGGGCGCGTGTTCAGGACTCCAAGTCCCACTTTTCGACTCTGTGTGTGAATATACACTGGCACCACCTCAAAGCCGTAACCACCGCCCGCAGCCCGGGGAGCTGGGGCTCTCTCTTTCCTGCCTCCCTCCATTGACTAGGAGACTCAGCTGCCACTCTGCCTTCACTTGGGGTTTTTGGCAAGTTCCTGATGGAGCCAAAAATTGAGCCAGAGAGACACAAGGCCCCATTGTGAGGAATGGCCTGGGGATCTGCAGAATCTGGCAGGCCTGGGGCTCACCCTGGGCTCAGGAGGATGGCCCCGCGCCAGGCCTTGGGGGGCCCTGAAGGAGGAAGCGATGCCGTGTCCCAGAGCCAGCTTCTGGCTGAGCTGGCAAGGCCAATCTTGCTGCTAACGACGGTGTATCCAGGTCAGGTCCTTGGCACGGTGCGTCTCATTTTCGCCACCAGTGTGGGAGGCAAGAGTGACAATGGACATGAAAGCACCTTGAAAGTCAGAGGGATCATGAGAAAGAGAAGCCAAATGGCCCATCCGATTTGAGTTAAGCAAGCCATCCACACACCCATACACCATCCATCCCCCTACCTCCTATCCAATCATCCACTCACACTATCCCTCCCTCCCTCCATCCGTCCATCTACAAACTCATCCATCCACTAATCCATCCATCCATCCATCCATCTACACACCCATCCAACCACGCATTCTCCAATCACTCATCTCTCCATCTATCCATCTGTCTATCCATCTATCCCTCCATCAGTCCCTCTATCCATCCATCCATACACCCACGCATCCACTCATCCTCCATTCACTCATCCATCCACCCACCCATCCATCCGTCAGTCCCTCTATCCATCCACCCATCCCCCCACTCATCTATTCATCCATCCAGACTGTAAGAACGTATGTGTTGCTTTAACCCACCACCAGGAAGCTCCCAGGGCTGCAGGAGCAGACTGCCTTAGACCAGTGCCTCAGACAGCACACTCTGCCTCTTGGTCCGGGAGCTGGGAGTCTGATGACCACATGTGGGCTGTGCGGGACCCTCGGAGGCTCTGGTGGAGAATCTGTGCCCGGCCTCTCTCGGGTCCTGGAGGCACCTGCAGGGCGGAGGCCCCTGGTCTGCTTCCACCCTCACGCCCCCATCTCTTGCGTTTGGACTGTGGTCCCAAAGGCCCCTCCCCGCGTGACTCCAGGAGCCCAGGTGTGGGGGTTCAGGGGGGCAGCTTTCAGCCTCAGCGAGCTGCTCACTGCCCGCCAGGCTCCTGGGGCCTGGAGGGAGCTCCACCTGGGGACTTGGGCTCCTGGGTCCTCAACCCCTCCCCCTGCACTTCTGCAGGTCTGCCCCACGCCCCCCTCTGTGCCCTCAGAGCCCAGCCTGCCTGCATCCCCTGGGGTGCCAGCCCCCTCCAGTCACTTCTCCTGGCCCCACACGTCCCCCAGGGCTGCTCCCCTGCATAAATCTTCTGGCAGCCTCGCCTGCCTCAGTCTCTACTTCTCGTCTCTGGGACATGCTCTCATTTTAGGGGTGGTGGGCCTCCTGCTCCAGTGCTTCCCAAGGCAGGCCCTGCTCAAAGAGAGGGCTCGAGACTCTGCAAGGTGCCACTATTGCGGAAGAGATGGAAGCAGGCCTAGGTCCCGGATGGGCTGGGCGTGGTGGTGCAGGAGGCGGCTGCCCACGCTGGGGTCACTTAGAGCCGGCCTGAGAGGGTGGCACCGGAAGGGGGCAAGCTTCCAGTGCAGGGATTTGGCCAGAGCCATCTGGGCACCCCGTGTGTTCTGACCGTGGGAGCTGGCGCTGCCCCCTGGAATGTGCCCCTGGACCACTCAAACCCCGACTGAGATGCTGGCCTTTCCCACGGATGGTGACAATGGGAGCAAGACGGTGTGTGTGTGGGGGGTCCCTTGGGTCACCCAGTCACGGAGCACACGCAGCCCAGGAGTGCGCACGCGGGCCAGTCGTGCACACGAAGATAGTTGTGCAAACCACGTACACACCCACGGGGATGCTCACGCAGGGGACCAGTCAGGAGCACGGTGATGCAAGCCCTTTGTGTGGGCAGACGGCCACCCCTGGCCATGTCCCTGGGTCCTAGCGGGCACGGGGCTCTCTGGTCGCCGGCTGACCCACGGACCCGCCCTCCTTGACGCCCAGTCCTCAGCGCTGGCTCTCACCTGCCCATCACGGTCCAAGAACCTGACCCAGGAAGTGTTTCTGACGCTGGCAGCCAGCCTGGACCCGAAGCCCAGACCCTCCCCAATTAGGGCCCATCAGGAACCGTCGGGACCCAGGACACGGGGGGCCTTGCCGCCTGGCCTCGGACGGAAGGCAGTGACATCAGTCCAGAGGGAGGGCCTTGTGCTGTTCTAGAAGATAGCGCCCTTGTGGCCCTAAGGATGAGTCATGGGTGATTCGGGGAACCGCGAGGTGGGGGTTGGGGGGCCCGGCCCGGAATGGCCGGCCGGCCCTCCTCCTATGTAAGGCCCCGAGCCCACTTCTTCAGACTTCCCGTCTCCCCGGAGCTCAGAAGCGCGACCCCGGCTGCATCCGTGAAGTGCCTCCTGCTCGCCCTGGGCCTGGCCCTTGCCTGTGGCGTCCAGGCTGCCCACATCCCCCAGACGGCGGAGGACCTGGACGTTAGAAAGGTATGGGGTCTGGGGTGGAGGGTGGGTGCCGGGGGCTGGGGTCCGGGGCTGAGAGGGGGCAGGAAAGCCTGGACCGCGGGAGTCTAACACGGGACGAGAGCAGGCGACCCCCTGGGGGCACCACCTGGTCCCGCAGACTTTGGAGGGACTTGTCTCCAGACACCTGGTCCCCAGAGTCTCCCGTTTTCCCCTCCGTCCCAGGGCAGACTCGTCCTCAGAGGGTCCACACCTCGAATGCGGGCTGACTTAGGACAGTGAGGGGCCGGGGGCCAGGCAGAGACACAGGTTGTTGCAAATATTCAAGGACCTCCCCACTCCCACCCACGTGTCCGCACACAGCAGGTGGTCCCCAAGTGCACCTGGAACCTATGTGTCTCACACTTCCTGAGAGCCCTGGCTGTGTAGGAGACAGCCTGGCCCGACCAGGGCGGGACAGAGGGCCCACTGTGGGGCTGGGCCCCCTTTCCGCTCCTGGGGTGCAGAGCAAGGTCCCTCCCCAGGTGGTGGGGACGTGGCACGTGGTGGCCATGGCGGCCACCGACATGTCCCTTCTGGACGCCGGGAGTGGCCCGCTGAGAGTGTACGTGGAGGAGCTGAAACCCACCCCCCAGGGTGACCTGGAGGTCCTGCTGCAGAAACGGTGGGTGTCCCCTACCACCAACATTGTAACTGCTCGTCCCCAGGGCTGGGGTGTTGGGGGACCAGGGCCCCAGGGATGGGGAATGGGGCTCAGAGGTCCCTGTCCCCTCGGAGCCCGGCCCAGAGCCATGGGGCAAAAAAGCCATCACACAGAGCGGCCCTGGGGTCACTGTGGGGAGAGGCCCGTGTGCAGGATGCTGGGCATCAGGGCCTGGGGGTTGCTGCCAGGAGTCCCGTTCGCCCCAGAGAAGGGGAGCCGGAGACTTGAGGAATTCTGAGCCGTCGTGAGCCCCGCATCCTCGGAAGCACTGTGTCCAATCCCCACGTGGACGGGGTTAGTGATGCCCTGTGACCCTGGCCTCTGGTCACTGGCCTGTTGGGTGCCAGCCAGCTCTGCCTGCCCCACTGTCCCTCCCCTGGGTCGCCTGCTGGGGCCCATGGAGGGCCAGCCGAGGCGCCCACCTGCCCTCTGGACACTTCCCGGAGCCCAGCCCTGTCCCGCTGCAGGGCTCACGAATGACCCCTTCCCCCGCAACCACCTGGCTTTTCAGGGAAAACCACGAGTATGTGGAGAAGACCCTCATGGCCCTGAAGACCGAGGACCCTGCTGTCTTCACGGTCGACTGTGAGTGCCCCCAGCCCGGGGCCCCATGTGCCCTCGGGGCAGCCCCAGCCCACACAGGGCCCCGCCTGATGCCCTGAGATGCTCACCGTCCTGGCAGCAGGAGCCGGCTCGAGTCTGTGGCCTAGAGCTGCACACCAGCCCTGCCTCCTGCCCCCCTCGGGGGTCATTCTTGGGGTGACGAGGCCTGAGACCCCCACGCCCTCCTGCCCTGCGGCACCCCTGCTCAGCGAAGGTGGAGGGCGGGGGGCAGGCGTCCTGTGCACCATGGGGGTGGGCTACGTGGGCAGACACGTGGCCACCTCCCTGTTCACTGACTAGCCTGTGGCTCCTTAAAAATCTCCAGAACAAACCAGACCTGTGGGCAGGGGGCACTGTGCATTTGCTTCTCCGATCTGGAACCTACTTCTGGAACATTCCAGGCCTCACCCTCTGACCCCAGCCCTGGCAGCCTCCCTGGGACACACCCCTGGGCCCCCAGATCCAGCCCACACCCGCCCACCCTGGCCAGGGCCCAGCTACCCTCTCTCCGATCCACAGGGCCTCTCGCCTCTGCTATTTGCCACAGTCTCTTTTCCGTATATATTTAACTTCACTTATTTGTTTATTTTTGGATGTGCCGGGCCTTCCTGTTGCACGGGGTTTTCTCTAGTTGCGGTGCAGAGGCTTCTCTCGTTGCAGAGCGCGGGCTCTGGGCACACGGCCTCGGTCATTGAGCGCGTGGGCCGGTAGTCGTGGCTCTCGGGCTCTAGAGTGCAGCTTAATATTTGTGGTGCCAGCTTAGTTGCTCCGCAGCCTGCGGGGTCTTCATGGGCCAGGGATCGAACCCGTGTCTCCTGCGTTGGCAGATGGATTCTTTGCCACTGAGCCACCAGGGAAGACCCCCCCATCCTCTTTCTGAAAGGCAGTGGGTGTGGTGGAGACCCCCTGCTCCTCACCTGCAGGACCTCGGGTCTGCCTGGGAAGGTGGCTGGACTCACCATCGTCCTGCTCCCAGTCAAGCCGGGATGAGGACTCCAAGGATGCAGGGTCTCCCCACGCTCCCCCAGGTCCCCCCCCCCACCTCTGAAAGACAGAGCCATCCCCACCCTTCCTCTGGAAATACTCTCCCTTCTGTCTTCCACTCTTTGCAGTCCATGTATCACCCCAGACTCAAGTTCCATCCTGAATTATTTGTTGATTGCTCACGGACCTGGGCACCTATCCCCAGGGAGGGGGCCCGCTGGGATTTAGTGCCTGCGGGTGTGAACGAATAACTGACTGAATGGACGCCACGTGCAGGACATGGGAAGCAGAGTCTGCCCAAGCAGGCGGTAGGCACACAGCGGCTTTGCCGTAGCATCAGCGTGTCAGAGCTGGGGCCGGTCTCAGCTGGGTGGTGCTGTTGGAAGTGTCCCTGCTGGGGGCCCATCAGACTCGTGCTGCCAGCAGTGGGCTTTCTGCATCCGATAGAGAGGGCACCCACTGGGTGTCCAGAGAGGGTACTGCCTGCCCAATGGCCACCATGGGAAACAGCGCTCCCAGGCCCCCTGATGGTTGTGGTGGAGGGGTTCAGCAGAGATTTCAGGCTCCGTTCCGGCCCCTTTTCTAGGTCACGGGGAAAGGAAGATTTCCATGCTGGACACAGACTACAGCAGCTACATGATCCTCTGCATGGAGGGCCCACACCCACCGATGAGGGCAGCGTGATGTGCCAGTGTCTGGGTATGTGGGGACCTTGCAGAGCGTATCCAGAAGGGCTGCGCCTCACCGAGACATGACCCTTGGTGGAGCTGTGAACAAGGAGCACTCAAGACCCCCGACCTTCACGGCCCCTGGTGGCAGGAAGGGGAGGGGTCTTCCTTGCTGGCCCCCCCGGGACACGGGAGCCAAGGTCCCAGCCTCGGCCCCAGACCCTGGTGGTCAGATGTAGCTGACACGCAGGGGGCAGAGTGCTTGCAACAAGGTCTGGGACGGGTGAGCGGGCTGAGGCAGAAGGCTCAGTGGTCTCTCCCCAGGAGGAGGGGCTTCACCTCCCAGTGGGCAGAACTAGCTAATATTAATCCAGTAGTCTTCTAAGAGGAGATTTTTAACAATTTCAGAACACTTTCAGATACGAAAGCAACTTTAAAGGGCAACCTTCTGACCAAAGTAAATACAGTGGCGAGGCTGCCCTTACTCCCAAGGGGGCCGTGGTCACCGGGCAGTCAAGGCTCCTGGTCCTAAGTCAGCCCACTAGGGGTCGGGGGGAGACCAGGCTAGTGGGGCAGGGGGGGCCTTTCCTCCCGTGACGGTACAGACACCGCTGCACAGCCCCGGGGAGGAAGCGGAGAGGAACGGGGCTGAGGGGGCCGGGCAAGGGTCCGAGCCTTGCAGACCATCCTGGGAGGCGGGACAGGACCAAGCTCCTCGACCTTGTGGTGCCTCCTTCCCGGGCTCACGCTCGGTTGGGGCCCTCGGGGTCTCTGGGCTCTCAGGGCTGGGGCTGCCTCGGGGCCTGACGCCCTGCCCCCACAGCCAGGACCCCGGAGGTGGACGACGAGGTCATGGAGAAATTCGACGGGGCCCTGGCCTCGCTGCCGGAGCATATGCAGATGGTCCAGGACCTGCGCCAGGGGGCGGGTGAGCTCGGCCGCCCATCTTCCCTCCCCAGGCCTCCTGGGAGGAGGGGATGGGATGCAGCACCCTGTGGGGGGCCCCCTCTCCACCCGCTCCCCAGCTCCCTCTGTCCCGGGGTGTCCAGTCCCTTCCTAAGCCCCCCACGACTCTCGCTCCCCCACAGAGCAGTGCACGTCTAGGTGAGCCCCTGCCGGCGCCTCTGGGGTAAGCTGCCCGCCCTGCCCCACATCCTGGGCACACACATGGGGTAGGGGGCCTTGGTGGGTCCTGGGATCCCCCATTAGGCCCTGGGGTCCCCCCATGGGAATGGCTGGAAGCTGGGGTCCCTCCTGGCGACTGCAGAGCCGGCTGGCCGCGTGCCCACTCTTGTGGGGTGACCTGTGTCCTGACCGCACTCACACACTGACCTCCTCCAGCTCCTTCTCGGCAGGGCTAAGGGCCAAGGTGGGGGCCCAGGAAGTGGGCACCTCAGGGGGAGGCTAGGGGGGTCCTTCTCCCGAGGAGGAGCCGTCCTGCACCCTCAGCCATGGAGAGGCTGGCAAGGGTCTGGCAGGTGCCCCAGGAATCACAGGGGAGCCCCATGTCCATTTCAGGGCCCGGGAGTCTTGGCCCCTCTGGGGACAGACGACATCACCCCCGCCTCCTCCATCCAGGGGACGAGGAGGGACCGGGACCGCGGTCACCCCTCCCAGGACCCAGGCCCCTCCAGGCCCCTCCTGGGGCCTCCTGCTTGGGGCCGCTCCTCCTTCAGCAATAAAGGCGTAAACCTGCGTGCTCCCTCCTGAGTCTTTCCTGGACGATGGGCAGGGGGTGGAGCCTGGGGATGGCTCAGAGGGTGACGGCAGGGCCACCGGGAAGAGTGGTGTCTGCCCCTGGTGCAGCCTCTTCCGTGCCAGGGGCTGTCAGACGCAACCTCCCTTTACTGTTCACCCACCTCCACCCTTGCAGGGCTGCGGAAACCTTATTTGCTGGTAAGGCTGTTCACCATTTTCATTTACGTTTCTTAACAAAATAGATTCCTTGGCCCCTCCTGCCCTCCCCGGAGGTGGGGGTGTCGGAGCTCCAGGGCGGGGTGGGGGGCGGGCGCGGTCTGCTCTGCAGGCACATCCACAGGGAGAGCATCAGAGGCAGGACCACTGCC